TCACTATGTAACACTCGTGCTCCAACACATTGTACGTGTTAGCTAAAGGGCGGGACATCTCTCAGAGGTTGACCAATCACAACAGAGCCGACCAGCTAACCAATCAGAGCAGACTGGACTCTGGTTTCAGACAGAGGGTGAAAAGAGGTGCTGCAGCACAGGCAGTATGAGAACAATAAAGAGCTTTTTGAAAATTAAAGCATGGAGACATGTCACAGGAGAGAAACTACATACAAATATGAACCTGAAAATTAGCATACTAGGGCCCTTTAATTGTTTTATTACTATAACCTATTCTTACTATTAGCAAAGGGCAAAGTACGAATCATTCAGCTAGTAGCAACTTCTCATTTTTAGCTTGCACTTAATTTTTGCCCTTGACAGACTGCATCAGTAATCAGTACAACCTTAGTGCATCCCTTTAAGGAATTATAACACATATCATTTAACATCTAAAAAAGACTCCAAGTATTTATAAAAAGAAGCCCCTTAATAATTAAGGCCAGCAAAATCATTTGGATTATAATTCGCTGGATGAAAACTCCGGATGAGTTTCTTATTGGCAGTTTGAAGGACTACATGTAGAATTTCTTTTTGAATTGTCAACAGAGATGTAGAAAGAGCTTCATGCCATGGCTACATACCTCATATTTGGAGGAGGTTTGATGGCTCCTTCAAATAGCCAGATCCCAATCACAGCAAACACATAGAACACCACCTGCACAGAGAGCATGAAGAAGACCCGTGTCAGCTGAAACCCTGTATCTCCATAAGTGTTTTTACAGGAAGACCAAACAATATGTTTTTTTAATACAACTTTTTAAATAGAGCCAGACGATTATCAACTGTCTTTATTTAGCCTATTAAAAAGCATGGTTTTTCCACCAAAACAGAAACATTTTGATTTTCACACAACACTCATATGATAGGAAGAGGCTTTTATTTTTTCCATCAGAAATATTAATCGTTTCTAAATTTGGATCTTCATATATTTTATGGCAGTATGCCAACTCACCATTAGTATCCCTGCAAAGGCTCTGAGGTTCTTCAGCAGGTCCAACAGTGTACTCGCAACCAAAGCCATGAGCTGTTCAACAAGAAGGAACATAGGAGAGATATAACGGACATGAACACAGGACATTTATTTGAAGTATATTTTTGTTTGCCTTACCTTGATATCTGGGATGATGCGCAGGAAGCGGAACACAATCAGCATGTTGATCAGACGCACCATCTCCCACAGAGACATCAAACCATGAGAGGATGGATCCCTGTGTACACAAACACACACACACACACACACACACACACACACACACACACACACACACACACACACACACACACACACACACACACTTATTTGAAACATTCTTTTAGATATTTTCCTACAACTTAACCGTTATTCATCATTGTCGATTATCAAAAGAATGAATACCTGAGAGGACCAAACTGAATTTCCATAAACATTTACTCTAAAATGATTTGATGAAAATACAAACCTACCATTGAGAATAAGGAAGCCTGTAGGTGATATATATAGTGATTTGTAGGAGCTGATGGAGACAAAAACACATAAACAATTTATTTAACCTGCAATAACTGATTTCTTTTCCCAGTGAGTTTCACCGGAAAATTAGGAAATACTCCTTTAACAATCTGGATTGACACAGGTTGTCATGAATGACTGTGCTACGCTTACTAAATACTGCTGGAGGATGGTCAAACTGCATTTAAACTTTTGTATTTTGGTCCTATCAACAAAGTTAGAATACCATGGGACACTGTACAAAATATAACAAGCTGCTCACATGTGAAAACTAATTAAATCCTTGTGAATATGCTTCTGTTATCCTTAAGAAATGAAACTAGCTTCACATGTGTTATACTTAACGTGACGATAATAAGAGAGAGGGGGAGAGCAGGGTTACCAGGAGCAGGATGGTGAGGAAGCCATCAAAGATATTGTTCCTGTAGGAGAGGTACCCTTTCCATCCGAAGGCAAAGATTTTCACGCACATTTCAAACAGGTAATACAGGATGAAGCACATGTTGATGATCTGGCAGTTTGACAGAGGAAGAGGGATTTAGTCCATTAATGAAGCAGGTTATGTTCACAATTTTAGCAGGCAACAGGGGCCCCAAAACATCAAATGAAACAGATGAGATACTGAGGATTTACATATAGGATTTTAAAGACTTAATTTGTCTATGAGATACTTTGAGATGGATAAAAGTGTTAGTTCGGGTGTATATCCAACCCAGTCTCACGGCATTTCGTGTTCACCAACACGATTTTTAATCTATTGATTCGTGTTCACCAACACGATTTTCCCCTTTTTTTCGTGTTGCACAGCACGATTTTAAAAGCAATGTATTTCTACTGGTAATGTGTTTCGTGCCTGCAGCACGTCTTTTTCTCCG